TTTTTTTCCGTCTTGTCGTTTTGTCCAGAGGAGAAGAGATGAATGAGAGAACAAAATGCTAACAGGGTAACAACGTCCCCAGAAAATATACTCTAAACAAATGATAAAAGACCTGAAGCCAGAGGAAAAGAAAGGGAAAGAAAGAAAAAAGAAAAAGAAAAAAACAAAAACAGAACAAAGCAAAAAAAAAAACCAATATAATCAAATATGATCAGGCTGGTGCATAGATCAGTGTCCCACACTAGATTTTGGGTGTATTTTGGTCTGTTACAAGAAAGTGCCTCCCAAATTTTTAAAGAAGGAAAAACATAAGTACAAAAATGAGGGTTAATACGATGAAGGGATGGAATATGACTGTAAAGATGAAAATTATAAAAGATTTTATAAAAGGAATTGATAAGTTTGAAAAAAGAAAGAATTTAAAAAAAAGGGAAAGAATGTGATCAGGCAGGAGACTAGAACAAAGCCATACACTAGAGATTTAGAGTATATTTTGATTTGTTAGAAGAAACTATTTCAAAATTTTAAAGAGAGAACAACTTATATATATATATGCCAAAAATAAGGATAACTACTATGAAGGGATAGAATATGACTCTAAAAATGAAAAAGAAAACTGTTTTTTAAAAAAGGGATTGATAAGATGTTGGTTGAAGGGAAAAAGAAAAATTCAAAAAAAATTAACTTTGAAAGACTAAAGAATCATGGTAAAAAAGCCATGATCTATGTGCAGTATTCCCCTAGCTCTGGAGTTCTGCTGTTCTCATCTGCTGTTCTCACCGTAAACTTGGCTGGCTGTTCTTGCTGATCTTCTGGGGGAGGGGCCTGTTGCCGTGGTTCCGAGATGTCTTTGCCAGAGGCGGAATTGCCCCTCCCTTGCCTGTCCGGGCTAAGTAATCTGCTTGGGTTTGCTCTCCGGAGCTTTTGTTCCGTGCAAGCTTTCCGTACAGCTTTGGAGGACGAGAGTGAAAATGGCAGCCTCCTAGTCTCCGCCCCGGAGGAGCCGAGAACTCGGGGCCCCGCTCCTCAGTGAGCCCCCAGAGAAAAGCAGTCAGTCACTCCCGTCTCCCTGGTCTCAGGCCGCACTCCATGCTCACCTGGCCTGTGAATGAGCATTTCTATCTCTGGCACACGACCCCGTGTGGAGTCTCCAAACCCAGCAGATCCCTGCAGTGCACTCCCACTCCACTCCTCCCCGGGTAGGAAAGGGAGTCTCCCCAGATCTGCCGCTTGTTCAGTCCCTGCTGGAGGAGCAGTGGCCCGACTGTGCCGTGGATCATGGTTTATGGTAACCCTGAGCTGACGGCCCACTCCTCTGCTCCGTCTCTGCAGCCGGCTTCCCCGCTCTGATACCTGGGAGCTCTGCCGCACTCAGGCACCCCTGGTCTTTCTGTGACCCCGAGGGTCCTGAGATCACACTGTCCTAGAGAGGGTTCCATCCCCCGCTTAGCCACTGGAGCGACGTCCCTCAGTGGAGCTGACTCCTAAAAGTTCCGATTTTGTGCTCCGCAGCTCTATCACTTGCCAGAAGCGGCCAACAGAGGCCCCCTCCCCCGCTGTCTGTCTTCCCGACTATCGCCTCAGATTCACTTCTCCGCACCTCCTACCTTCCAGAAAGTGGTCGCTTTTCTGTTCAGAGAGTTGTTGCTATTCTTTTCTTCGATCTCCTGTTCAGTTTGTAGGTGTTCAGAATGGTTTGATCCCTATCCAGCTGAGTTCCTGGAACCAGATAAAATCCAGGTCTCCTACTCCTCTGCCATCTTGCTCTGCCCCATATCCCAGGTGCCCCTAATTTTTAAACTTTAAAGAAATGGGTGAGATTTATCACATACTTTTTTTTTTTTTTTTTTTTGAGAGAGTGCCATGGGTGTGAGGGGGAGACAGAGAGACAGAATCTTAAGCAGGCTCCACATGCAGTGAGGGGAGCATGAGGAGGGGCTTAATCTCACCACCCTGAGATCATGACCTGAGCCAAAGTCAAGAGTCAGATGCTTAACTGACTAAGTCACCCAGGCGCCCCTCAAATACTCTTTTAGATTTATATTGGAGTCATCATTTTCTTTGCTTATAAATGTGAAATATTGGGTCATTCTTGGTAAAATGAGGCTTACATGTTTGGAGGACAGAAGGAAAGTGATTTAGTTGTATATGAAGTGTTACTTGCTTTTTAGCCAGGAGACCCAGCCAAAATGAGAGTCTGATTCTGGTAGGTCATTTTCACTTAGAGAAAGCAAGATACAGCACAGTTGTTGATAATAGTCTAATTATTCTCTGGTGAGAGGATACAGCTGGTTAGGGATAACTCAAGTGAGTTCTAGCTCTGGGGTGGGCAGGAGACAAAGTAGTAGGTATAGGTGAAGGAAAAAGCCACTTAAGTGTACATGGAAGTTCTTTGAATATCCGTTGATTGGATGGAAATGTGTATTGGGCTTCACTGTGAGACTTTTAATATGTATATCCTGTTTATCAATTTTTAAAAAATTACTGAAGTTATTGTATCCTGTGAGACTTGGCAAATGTATACAAATCAAGTACACTTGTCACCTCTTCTTTCAATGTAACTTTTATACAAAATAGTCACCAGTTAACAGTTCTCAAACCACCACCAAAAAAAAAGACAAAAGTAGTATTCAGTAGGTTATCCACTATTGGCAGGGTCTACATGCCTGGGTGAGATGATTGTGACCTTGCTGCTAGTGATTACTTTGGATGTTTATGTGGTATTGCCATGGGCAAATTTTACGCCCATTCTGTTCAGATAAACCAGGAATACATTTATCAAGCCAGAAAAATCAGGTGTTGGCCAATGGCGACTTTTAAATAAATGCATGTATTATATATATGTATGTATATTTTTATCCCAATACCTTCCCAAGGCCCTACATGATCTGGCATCCGTACTTACCTCTTGCTACTCTCTCGGGCCCAAACTGCTTCAGCTACAGTGACCTCTGTGCTATTTAAACACACTCAACCTGTTGCTGCTTCTAGGCCATTATACCTGTACTACCTCTCTGACTAGAAAATGCTCTTCTCTACACCTTCATGTGGCTCACTCATTCCTGTAAGTCTCTGCAGAATTCTAGTCCTCAGAGAAGCCTTCCCTGGCTACCCTTTCCAAAACAGCCACTCTTTACTCATGCTCAGTTATTGCTATCTGAAATAGATTTTTTTTGTCTGCTCTCCTAAAGGAATATAAAGTTCTATGAAAGTAGAAACTGCCTTTTTATCACTTCTACACAGATGAGTACCTAGCACATTGTAGGAACTCAAAATATCTGTAGTACATCTTACAGCTATTTTGGAGATACCGGGGAAATTATCAGTCATTAACAAAGTACTTTGTCACGGGGAAGGGGACCTGGTATTAAAGTTTGAGTTCTTTCCGTATCTCCCCTAAATGGTATATTCTTTCAGTGTGTTTTGTAATACTTGTTGATAATTTGCTTGACTTTTATAATGTTCATAAATAAGTTTCAAGATACAACTTTGAAATGGAAACTTTGATTTAATTTTTACCTGAAATTCTTGTACATTCTGCTTTTTTTATTGACCAAAAAAAAAGACATAAAATACACTCTCGTACTACCAAAATAACTGAATTAGCCTTGTGACTGTTCAAAAAACTATTTATCCTTCTAGTTTAAAAGAAACAGTTGGGTAAAATGGAACCAGTAGTGGCTTTTGATGAGTATGAGAGTACCCATTGCTTAAGATGGCTCTGCCTTTTTTTTAAGATTCATTTATTTATTTATTTGAGAGAGAGAGAGAGTACCTGAGAGCACAGGGAGGGGCAGAGGGAGAGAGAAACTTTAGCAGACTCCTCGCTGAGCTCAGCCTGATGTGGGGCTTGATTTCAAGACCCTGAGATCATGACCTGAAACCAAGAGTCAGCGCTTAACCAACTGTGCCACCCAGGGGCCCTAAGATGGCTCTACCTTTTATAATTTAGTCCCAATTTGAGTAAACATTGGTATCGGGAAAATATGGGATTTTTTTAGATTGAAGCAAAATACCACAGAAGATAATCCTAGGAAAATAAATATGTTCTTTTTTTTTTTTTTTTTTAAGATTTTTATTTATTTGACAGACTGTAAGAGGGAACACAAGCAGGGGGAGTGGGAGAGGGAGAAGCAGGCTTCCCTCAGATCAGGGAGCTCGATGTGGGGCTCGATCCCAGGACCCCGAGATCATTACCTGAGCTGAAGGCAGCCACCCAATGACTGAGCCACCCAGGTGCCCCAAATATGTTGATTCTTCAGAGTATTAGATACTACAGAGTATTTGTGCTTTTATTTTCATAGCTTAAAAAATACTGAGGTTTGGGGGCACCTGGGTGGCTCAGTGGTGGAGCATCTGCCTTTGGCTCAGGTCGTGTTCCCAGGGTCCTGGGATTGAGCCCCACATCGGGCTCCCTGCTCGGCAGGAAACCTGCTTCTCCCTCTCCCACTCCCCCTGCTTGTGTTCCCTCTCTTGCTGTGTCTCTGTCAAATAAATAATCTTCAAAAAAAAAAAAAAAATTGAGGTTTCGTAACAGCAAAAGATTGAATAAATAACATGTGTTCATATACTGGAATACCACCCAGCTTTTTTGATAAAAGATCTGTATGTAATGACTTTGAGACAAGCTGTCCATGATTGGTTTTTTTTTCCCTTTCAAGTTTTTATTTAAATCCCAGTTTGTTAACATATGTCCGTGATTGTTTTAAAGGGAAAAACAGTAATCTCTGGAATGTGAGGTTTAAGGGGAATGTTCACTTTTTAATGCCATATATTTTGATTTTGCACATTTTCCAGTCCAGTTCTAAGATTTAAAACTAATGTGTATATCTTAATGGAATGGAGTTTCTCCGTTTTGTATATTTGCTTCTAGTACCATCACTTTTTTTTAATACAAAATGTGTGATAGTGACAAAGACATTTTTTCCCTAATTACTTAGAATCTTATTAATATTTTATGAAATACTAACCTTTTTTCTTCCCCTTGGGTACCATTCTAGAATTTTCTGAAAAAATTGGAACAATCTTTTATGTGTGTCTGCTGCCAGGAGCTAGTTTACCAGCCTGTGACAACAGATTGCCTCCATAATGTCTGTAAAGTAAGTAGATTTCTTTCTCATTTTATCTTGTTTAGGACAAGAGGGTTCACTAACCTCCAGACATGTTTTTAGCATGTAAAGCATTTTTCCATGAAACAGAACAGTTGTGGAACCTTGTCAGCTAAGAAACATTTCATTGCATTTTGGCAGTAATGCGTGTTTCAATTCTACAGTAATAGTTAAATATGTATAGTTGAGGTATTCTATCATATTTGGAGTTACTGAGGAGAGGTTGAAATGGAGAAGAAAGTAAGGTGTTGTTGCTGTGTTCTATGTTAGAGCATATGTATGTTTCATATAGTGCAAACTGAATTCCATCCACATAATGGAATCTAAAACATATTCTGTCTGGCAGCATGCCCAGAGGAGTTGAATATTGTATTACTAGTGTGGTGTAAAGGGAAAAACTGAGTTTTAGTCAAACCGAGGTTGGAATCCTGCTCAACTGCTCAGTGGTTATGTGCCCTGACCTAACCTCTGAACTTTAGTTTCTTTTGTAAAATGGAAGTAAACCTTTCGCATATGTTTGTGCCTGACCTATATATTTCTGGAAGACACATTCTACGTTTAAGTGATTTGTTGAAACATATAACTTAGTTCTAAGTAGGGGAGTCCTAAATTTTTTTTTAGGTGTTCTGTCATGAAAGATCAGGATTAAAATGCAACCTAGAAGATGAGGCTAGTGGAAACTATACATAAATTCTAACACTCTCATTTTATTGGATGAGGAAATTAAAGGACACGAAAGTTAAAGTTTCACAGTTGTGCTAGAAGTGGAACCTGAAGCCATGTCTGTAGAGTAGTTTTCATAGTGCAGATTCAGACCTTTACAGTTGTTCATCCTAAGTTTCTAGTTCCTGTTTAAAAGCATAAGTCATTGACTTTTCTACATGCTATTACTGTTATGAAATTGGGTATGTTTTTGTTTTTGTTTTTTGGTTTTGCCTTAGGATTGCTTACAGCGCTCCTTTAAGGCTCAAGTTTTCTCCTGCCCTGCTTGCCGGCATGATCTTGGCCAGAATTATCTCATGATTCCCAATGAGATTCTGCAGACTCTACTTGACCTTTTCTTCCCTGGCTACAGCAAAGGACGATGATTTGTCTATTTCTACTGTGTTGCTCTTGATGGCTTTTTGGACAATAAAGAATCTAAAATGATTGGGGGGAGGGAGCGGGGAGGGTGGAAGCGCAATGGTGGACCATATCTCTCACGTTCTGAAGCAGCTAATCCTCTTTCCTACATAGCCATTATCTTGTGTGTGTAGTAAGAGGCCCATTTCTCAACTGTCTTTTAAATATCAAAAGGTAGTTCCTGTCAGTAACAACTAGTTTTAAATGAGTAAAAAGTCAAAGCCTCAGCTCTAGTTGATATCCAAGTTAATGATTTATTTTGCAACTACCTCAGGACAGAAAAGACTTATGGGGTTTTTTAAATCATTGAGTAATTAGTTAAATGAAATTTTAGCTACGCACTGCCTCCCAAATATTAGTTGTGCCTGGTTTGTGTAATTTGATTTTACAGAGGAAATGACACTCAAGATCTTTGGAACGCAGCTTGTGTATTGTGCATAATACATTTTTAATGTCTTCTTCCATTACAATGTGTTTTGCAAGGACAGGTTCATTTTTTAGCCCATTTTGTGAGCTCCATTGTGCTTTTTTCTGGTGTTTTATGCAAGTTGACTACTAATGACTAATGAGAACAATATGAATGCATTGTTGCTGCATTAGTGTAATGTGGTGTGGTTTTGCACTTAAAAGAGGTATTCAGATGCTCTAGTTGTAAATGTTCATGAAAAGCCTCTTCTGTACTAGTCAAACTGCTTTTAGTGAGTCTCACCAGTGGTTTTACATCTGCAGAGCATTGAGGGCTGGGCTGACTTTTGAGAGGACTGAAATTGCTTCATATTGTGATCCTAAATTTTATATTCACTATATTCCCTAAAGTATACCTTAATAAATATTTTATGACCAGAAAAATAGCTCATCTTGCTTCACTTTTTTACATTTGTCTGGCTTATAGTACATATTTTTAAGAATTAATCACTTCCAGAGTATTTCATTGTATATTTTAAAACAGACATTTTCTATAATTCTCTATTCTTGATTTTTGGTAATACGAAATAGTATGAAATCTGGATTTCATTTTTACTTTTACTAAATTGGAAAAATTTTCAAAATAAGTACTTAGTGACTGTTCTTTTATCTATAACAACTTCAGTCTTGCATTCAGTTTTAGTATTATCAGTGCTACTTATTTCACTGCCATGAGAAAACATCTTTCTAGTCTCTGAAAGTATATTGTTAATATTTTCATCAAAGTTTTAATGATTGTTATATTTTCATCGAAGTTTTAATATAAAAAGTTTAATATGAGAAAACATCTTTCTAGTCTCTGAAAGTATATTGTTATATTTTCGTCAGAGTAAAGATTTAATACCAGTTTTCCTGCTTCTAGATTCAGAGCCACACATAGCGCCAATATTTATTGAATATTGCTTTGCACTAGTCACTTGTACGTTTTTATGTGTATTCATTTCATCCTCCTGACAACCTTTAGAGGCAGGTACTATTATCCCCATCTTATGGATGAACATCAGAGGTACAGAAAGGTTAAGAAACTTGCCAAAGTTCGTACATCAAGGAAGTGGCCCAGCTGTGCTAGAAACAGGCACGGATGCTGGCAATCTTACTTCTGGGCTATATAAACTCTCACATTTGAATATAAGCCAAGCTAGTTTGGGTGCTTTTCCTGCCTTCAATTAAATTCAAAATCAGGTCCTGGGGATCACTTACAGCATAGTGATTGGAACTGTTTTTACTTAGGGCTAGTTATGGACATTGGAATAGTTTTCATTTGAAGAATCAAATAGGGCCTTTTTAGATTGAAATGAATCATTAAATTGCATCATCTAGTGTTGTATTTCCTTTGGCACTGGCCATATCTCTGTGTGAAGGGTGGGAAACAAACGTCTCCTAGTTTCAGCTACTTGAACTGGTTTAGTTCTGCTTTTATTAGCAAAATAAGTGATTCTCACAGTTAAGCTATGTTTTTCTTAACTTTGTTATAATATTATGGACTAGGAAAGAAAGTGGACTCCAGCTTAACATGTTCAGGAGCCAAGAATGGCCCCAAACTAAGCAATTTTATGTTGCTTTTAAACTTTTTCAAAAGATCTCGGGTTTTTTTACATAAGTATTTTGGTTTGATATAAAAGATACAGACTTTTAGAAAATAACCACAATACCTTTGCCACACATGTAAAAAAAAAAACCATTAACAGTTATATCATCAAATGTCTAGTAAATTTCAAATTTCCATTGTCTAAAATGTCATGTATAGATATTTTAGGTTTGTTTATGTCAGGATCCAGATAAGGACCTTACATTGTTATTAATTGCTATCACTTACGTATCTTTTAATCTGTATATATCCCTTCAATTTTCCTTTACTTTTTGCAATTTGTATGTTTAAATTATTCTGGAGCCTTTCTGACAGAGCAAGATTTTGCTGATTATAACCATTGCTGGTATGGTTTAACCTGTTACTCTTTATTCTATGCAAACTGGTAATTGGAATTCAAGCATGACCAGATTCAGGTTTGTTCCACTGCCCCACACCCCCCACACCCCCCACACCCCGGTCCAAGACTTCTTCATAGGTGGTATGGTTATTCCTTCAGGTGGTATATAGTATTTGGTTGTCTCTTAGGCTCAAGTTTGAAAGAGTAGCTTCTCACTGAATTCTGTTACATGTAGTAGGTTACAGTGATTGCTGTTAAGTACTCAGCCACTTTCATATGGGTAGGATTTTTTTTCTAATTAGCGTAAGCAGGGCCTCTAGTTGTAGAACTCATTCTAAATAGTATCGTTCATTCAACAAATATGTGCATGCTAGTATGTTTAAGAATATTAGGTAAACTTTGGGGAGTTGGCAATCTAAAACACCCTAAGCTCTCTCATAAGCTTGTTATGACAGTTTGGCTAACAGAAAGGGGGACCTGCCTGTATTACAGCTTTGGATTTTAGTATAGAGCCTACATACGAACTGAAGAGAGATCTGCTCTGACTTGCCCACTGTGCACTATTTCTTTTCTGCTTATTAGGGACTGAACCTTTTCCCATTCTTCAGGACACCCTGAAATACAGAGCTCATGACTCTACCTGATTTTAGGGAATTGAGCTTGATAATTCACTTATCACCAGCTTAAACTGGGAAGAGTTTTCCATGCTTATCTCCTGTATGCTGACTGGTCCACACACCAGATGTTTGAATCCCTGAAAGAACTGATTATTTAGTAACCTGGATTAATCAGACAGTACAAAGAAAAAAATACAAACACCAAACACAAACACAAAACATCAAGAACTAGCTAGAAGGACCAGGCAGGCAGACCAAGTTACAACTATTAAAAAAATGAATGAAAGAACGAATTTTACACTATATCCTCAAGTATAAAACTGCATTGCATTGCTAGAATAACAATAAGGTGCTGTGTGAAGAGTAGTTTGAGATTAAAATTCTCGGAAGTAAATGGTTGAAAGCAAAAGAGTAACAGACAAAACAGTGGACAAAATCTGAACATATTACTGTGTATTCCGTTATATATGGATATTCCACAATTTGTTTATTCATCTGGTGATGGATATTTGAGTTTCTAGGATTTTGCTATTATGAATAGCTGCTATGACCCTTCATCTGTAAATCTTTGGGAAATAGTTTGAAAGTTTCCTATCAAATATGTTCTTACCATATAATCCATCAATTTCATTAGTATTTACTCAAAACAAATGAAGAGATGTTCTCAAGTGGTTTATACCATTTTACACTCCTGCCAGTCATGTATGAGAGTTCTAGTTGCCCCACATACTAACACTTTGTTTTTGTCCTCTTCATTGTAACCATTCTGGAGGATATGTAGTTTCTGTAGGACACAGGAGTAGGTTGAATATATAGTGACCAGAATGATGAGTAGTCATCAGTACTGTTCTTCTGGTATTTCTGGCTCTCAAGTGCATGTGTTAGGATTGTATATCTTAGCCCCCTTGTGGTTGGCTAGGGTCATGTGACCAGTTAATCAGTGAGCTGTTTAATAAATGCTGTGTGTCACTTCAAGACAGAGTGTTTCATCACCCTCCAGAGTTTTTTTTTTTTTTTTTTCTCCCTTCCATGGAGATCAGTAGTACCCAGACAGCTTTTTTAGTAACATGGGTCCCAGAGTGAGAATGATATAGAGTTCCCCTGCCGAGCTTACAATGGACAGGTAACCATGAGTGAGAAGTAAATCTTTTTAACAACCTGACATTTTTGAGTTAACATGACCTAGCCTATCTTGACTAATGGAAGCATTCTTAAATTCCTCAGTTTCTCAGTAGACAAGGAATTGAATTTTTAAAATTAGTGTTTTAATAATTTAGAACTAGAACTTCCACTATGTTTAAACTAAATTTTTTCATCTCTAAGTCAGTTGACTACAAGCTATTGATTGGTTGATGGTGTGGTAGGCAACCTGTAAGATGGTCCCCGATGATCTCCAGCACCTCATCTTCATTCCCTGTTGTAATCTCTTCCCTTTGAGTGTGGGCTAGACTTTTTTTTTTTAAGATTTATTATTTACTTATTTTAGAGAGAGCAGGGGTGGGGGGAGATTCTTTTTTTTTTTTTAAGATTTTATTTGTCAGAGCATGAGCACAATCGGGGAGAGGCAGGGAGAGGAGAAGCAGGCTCCCTGCCAAGGAAGGAGCCTAACGCGAGACTCGATCCCAGGACTCTGGGATCATGACCTGAGCCGAAGGCAGATGCTTAACCGACTGAGCCACCCAGGTGTCCCGAGAGGGAGTCTTAAGCAAACTCCATGCTGAGCACGGAGCCCAATGTGGGGCTGGATCCCATGACCCTGAGATTATGATCTGAGCTGAAACCAAGAGTTGGACACTTAACTGACTGCGTCACCCAGGCACCCCTGGACTTATTCTTGTAATGAATAGGATGTAACCAGAGTGATGGGATATCACTTCCAAAGTTAGGTTAAAACTAATGTGGCTTCCATTTTGGGTACCCTCTCTTATTCACTCAGAGAAGCTAACTCCTGTGTTTTGAGCTACTTTATGGAGAGGCCCATGTGGTAAGAAACTGTTGTCTCCAACCAATAGCCAACAAGGTCCTAAAGCCACGGAAGTGAGCTTGGAAGTGGATTTTTCCCCAGTTGAACCTTGAGGTGACTTCACCATTCATTCCAGTTAAGACACCCTGAGCCAGAGGTGCCAGCTAAGCTGCTACTGGATTCCAGACCCACAGAAACTGCAATAAGGAATGTTGTTTTTAATCACTAAATTTTGGGATAATCTGTTATGTAGCAATACATGACTAATACAGATAGGGTAGCCTTAAGTGTCAGTTTGCCCAGGACAAACCAAAGTTGTATTCGTTATTCCAGAGTGATTATGAATACAATTCACTTTTCCTCTTGTAAAGTACCCCAGCAGTCCCTCTCAAAATAACACCAGCATTTTTCACAGAACTGGAACAAACAATTCTGAAATTTGTATGGAACCAGGAAAGACCCCAAATAACCAAAGTAATGTCGAAAACCAAATCTGGAGGCATCACAATTCCAGACTTAAACCTCTATTACAAAGCTGTAATTATCAAGACAGTATGGTATTGGCACAAAAACAGACACATAGATCAATGGAACAGAATAGAGAGCCCAGAAATGGACCCTCAACAGTATAGTCAACTAATCTTCGACAAAGCAGGAAAGAATATCCAAAGGGAAAAAGACAGTCTCTTTAACAAATGGTGTCGGGAAAATTGGACAGCCACATGCAGAAGAATGATACTGGACCACTTTTTTTTTTTTAAGATTTTATTTGGGGCGCCTGGGTGGCTCAGTTGGTTAAGCATGTGCCTTTGACTCAGGTCATGATCTGAGGTTCCTGGGATTGAGCCCCACATCAGACTCCCTGCTCAATGGGGA